CCAGTTATCCCATTGAAGTGCCAGTCAGGGAATGCATAGAGATGAGATTTGCTTCGTTTTCTAATCCCCAACCAGCAGCCACGGCCAAGAAACCCACCGGCGACCGTAATTGCCACCGCAAACACGTCGAGGACGGGTGAACAATCCTGTTTTTGAGCAACTCTTTTTTACTACCACTACCACAACCAGCGCTGTCAGTAGCTTTTTTATTCTCAGCAGTTCTGATAAATATCCTAATTGTAAAAACTCGGTTAGATGGCCGGCGACAAGATCGTGCTACACGGGAAGTACGAGCTAGGGCGGCTGCTAGGCTGCGGCACGTTTGCCAAGGTTTACCACGCGCGGAACCTCGTATCGGGCAAGAGCGTGGCGATGAAGGTGGTCGGGAAAGACAAAGTGATCAAGGTCGGCATGACGGAGCAAGTGAAGCGCGAGATCTCCGTCATGAAGATGGTGAAGCACCCCAACATCGTGGAGCTCCACGAGGTCATGGCCAGCAAGTCCAAGATCTACTTCGCCATGGAGCTCGTGCGCGGCGGCGAGCTCTTCTCCAAGATCTCCAAAGGGAGATTGAAAGAGGACGTGGCGAGACACTACTTCCAACAGCTGATCTCCGCCGTCGAATTCTGCCACAGCCGTGGGGTCTACCACCGCGATTTGAAGCCCGAAAACCTCCTGCTCGACGACGACGGTAACTTGAAAGTCACCGATTTCGGTCTAAGCGCTTTCAACGATCACCTCAGACAGGACGGGCTCCTCCACACCACGTGCGGCACCCCTGCCTACGTGGCGCCGGATGTGATCGGGAAGAAAGGCTACGACGGCGCTAAGGCGGACGTCTGGTCGTGCGGCGTGATTTTATTCGTTCTGTTGGCCGGATTCTTGCCGTTCCAGGACGATAACATGGTCGCGATGTACAGGAAGATTTACAAGGGCGATTTCAAGTGCCCGCCGTGGTTTTCGTCCGAATCGCGACGGTTGATAACCAAAATGCTAGATCCAAACCCTAGCACTCGCATCACCGCAGCGAAAGTCATGGAATCGTCTTGGTTCAAAAAATCGGTTCCGAAAGCTATGCGGTTGAAGGAGGAGGAGAGAAAAGAAGCGTCGAGTTTCGAAGATTGTTTACAGAAGGAGAAGAAAACAGAGACTTTAAACGCGTTCCACATAATTTCATTGTCGGAAGGGTTTAATCTGTCGCCGTTGTTCGAGGAGAAGAAGAGGGAGGAGAGAGAGGAGCTGAGATTCGCCACGACGGGGACCACGGCGAGCGAGGTGGTGTCGCGGCTGGAGGAGGCGGCGGCGAGGGCGGGGAAGTTTAGCGTGAGGAAGAGTGGGGACAATAGCAGTGTGAGGCTGCAGGGGGAGAAGAGCGGGAGGAAAGGGAAGCTGTCGATCGCGGCGGAGATTTTCGCCGTGACGCCGTCGTTCCTGGTGGTGGAGGTGAGGAAGTCGAGTGGGGATACGCTGGAGTACAACCAGTTCTGCAGCAAGGAGCTGCGGCCGGCGTTGAAGGATATCGCATGGACCTCCTCCCCTGTGGCTCATAGTGCAACCCCTGCTTGATGTACCATTTTGGAATAAGAAATTGTTATTTTAGGTCTGTGAAGTAGTATTATTAGAACATGATGGGCTAAATTCAGTCTCAGAATGGCTTTGTGCTTTCGATTGAGTTCTGCATTTTAATTCAATTCATGTGTTTGTGTTGTACGTGAATATTACTAATAGAGTATGTTTTGGACTTGGTTGAAATGGTGTTTGAATCAAGAAGTTTAATCTTTATGTAAGTGAGCGGTGAAATTAGCTGCTCGTAGGTGCTCTGCTTGAACAGCAGAGTTGTCGAAGAAAATGTATATAGGTTGGATGAATATAAAATGCGTATTTGTTTTTGACACTAATTATATAATCTCTTGTCATCAATTATGGTGGTTTGTTTATTAAGAGAGATGACTTTTCCAATGTCCTTTTCTAGGGGTTGTATGGGCAATTGTTGTGATGATTTGAATGGCTTTCTTATGCCTCTGGTAAGTACACTGATCTCTTGACCCATGTGTTTGGATGGTGTAATTACTTTACTTATAGTTGGACAATGTTGACTGATATGGTGGAGAATTTTTTTTTGGTGGAAATAGGATACCTCTGACGTGATATTTGTGCAGTACATTTGAGCCGTTCAAGTATTTCAAGTATGTAATCGACAGCTTGATTTGTAAGATACTGAACAAATTTTAAAAAAAAAAAGAAAAGGAAAAAGATGTTTTAATCCGAAACGTCGGTTGCATTGTTTGTGGACGACAATAATTGTGTGATGATTTGAGTTGCTTTCTTATGCCTCTGGTCTTGTCCTAAGCACTGAGAATATTACTATTGTGTTTTGGACTTTGGATGGTATAATTACGGTACTTGGCTGGACAATTTTGACTGCTAAAGGTGACCTCATTCACACAATATCTGGCTGCTTGGAAACATCTCCCTTCTCAACGGTCTCTCTGTCCACACAATATCTAGTGAACACAAAAAAAACATATTCTCTCCGATTGGATTTAATTTTCTCTAATTCTATTCTAACCGGTTAAAAAATATGTTATATCTTTAAATCCGTAATAAATTTCAGATCGAATATGGATCTTGTTTAATAGATTTCGATTAGTTCTACAATATAATGTTTTCGAAATCACGTAAAACATTATAATTGGAAGATATAATTGATTAAAAAATGACACGAACTCTAAAAAAAGACTATTAAATCCAAACGGAGGGAGCATTTTTTTTTTCTATTTCTTATATTTTCTATTACTATCTCGCTAATTAAACTGTGAGAATGTTTTAGTAACTACTATATATTGAACGTGGATAGACAATTTGGAAGTGGAGGATTGAATAGTAATGGTGAGAGTACATGTCATTAAGTTGATCCGGACACAAGACACCTGAGTTGAATGATTTATATCATTATATGTAATTCGTAGAAGTCCCTGTACCAAGAGTAGAATCATTTTTGCGAAATATTCTAAGAAATTATATTCACACATTCCTTCCGTTTCAATTTAAATGCTCTCTGTGAGAAATCGTGTATCTTTGACCTTAACAAAAATCGTATTTTCGTAATAGTTTTCAAACTAAAAAATTAAAAAATAAATTCCAAAACTACTTTATTTTTTAGGTCAAAGTTACTCAATCTCCTCCCATAGGAAGCATTTAAATTGGGACGGATTCACATTTATCCATCCAAACCCCATAAACGCATTCTTGAAATGGAGGATGACGTTGATGAGAAATTCACATCCTTAAATGCAAACAATGCTGAATGTGGGTGGTGTCTCAATTGATCGAGTACCCTTTGCCCCATTCATTTGGCTTGGGTTCGTTTTCCACGCCTGGGGTGGCCTCCCTTTCTCATTCCCTCTAATAACTAACACATTAATCCACGGATGTTACATATCAATGTAAAAAGAAGAAAAAAAATGCAATGGGAAGAAGATCTTGTGGGATATTTTGGTTGCGTATAGAATTAATTATTGGTCTGGGTTAAAATCTGTTCACATGTAAATGGAGTCCTTGTCACAGCTTTTACACATACATAGATAAGCAGAAACTTGAAATTCAACAGCTTTGCTACACTTCTGAATGGCAAAGGACAAAGGAGACAGACAATATGATAAGGTGAGAAATCTAAACCAAACACCCAAATATCCCAAAAAAAGTAAGACTTTTTCGAAAGTTTTACTCGTACTACTTACCTATCTCATTCACCTCAGAAAAACTCTCTCTCTCTCTCTCTCTCTCTCTCTCTCTCTCTCTCACCCTTGGTTTTTTATTTCCACATTTGTCAAACTTGAAGGATGAGTACACTGGCATTCTTCAAGTACCAAATTCTACAATTACAGAAGATAAATTTTCAAAACCATTGCCGACAGATATAACTCCCAAAAAGAAAACACTGGAAATAAGATTGGATGGTCAATCTTTTGTGTTCGACTAATTCAACTACATTGGATCCTCTTACACGAGGATCCTTGAGCCTTGTAGGATCACGAGAATTCGCTTGAACAATATTAGATGTCGATTACTACAAAGTGAACGGCTCGAATAATCGTACGAGACTAGGTAGGTCAGCGGCAGAGGTGTGTAAGGGCCCAAGGGTGCCCCGGCCACCCCCCAATTGTAGAATTTTACTAATATTATATGTAATATATTTAGTGTTTACATAATTAATGTACAAATCTCTCAATTACTAACTATTTTTTATTTGATCTAGTGAAAGATTAAACTTATTCCACATTGTCATGTTAAATTTTCTCAATTTATTCATAGACAAGAATAAGCGCACCTGAGCATAGTAATTGTCGGCAAAAAAAAAATGAAACCATGCCATCTACACACGATATGCTGAGTACATTTCTAAATGGAAATACTTTTCTTAAGTCGGCCCCCTTAATCTAAAATTCTGGTAGGTATTTTTTTTTCACTTCACATGAGAGATCTTTACACGAAACGACCATCAAAATTATCTTCTTACCAATTGATAGTTCTTGAAGTAATGTCAACTAACAGCAGGTACACCAAGTCATTCTCGATTCCAGCTCAATGCATCTTACAGCTGTTTTCCGAAACTCAACAAAATATAAAACCAAAAACGAGAAAAGAAAGGGAAATAAAACCTAACTTTTGCATGTGGAACTGCAAATCAAAATATGGTAATCGGTTTGAAACCAACTTGCATTTGTTTGGCCGTAAGTCAAAAAGCTGCCCACCAATCTGTTATTTGTTCCTTCATTTCTATCTTCACAATGTCCCACAGCAAATGCCCTCCTACCCCTTATGGTTGAGGAAAAAACACATGATTTTGTCTGTCATAGGATTTTAAAGTTTTTTTTTTTTTTTTAACGGAGGAACAACTCTATAGTTAGGCCACTATATGGACCCGACTGTGCAATCCAAACCTCCGAGAGAGCTAGCGTGGCCATACCAGTCACGGCCCCCCACTTACTTCAGGATACTCACCCGGTGGGGAATCGAACCCCAGATCTTGAGGAGTACTTTCAAAGCCTGACATCCGTCCGAACCACTGGGCAACCCTGAGTTATTTGTTTTGTATACCATATTTGTAAAGGATGTAGAATAATAACATGTGCATGTCAATTAATCCTCTCTCAAATAATTGTACTTTTTATACATGTAATATCCCTAATTTTTAATTATGGTTTATGTTAATTATGTGGCATGTTTAAGGCTTGATATGTGAAATTAGGCTTAATTTGCTAGTTAAATAAACATTGGAACATAAGTTGGCATGAGGCACGCATGCACACGATAATTTTTCTCAAGTCAAGCAAAACAAAGCTAAGTCTTTCACGTTTCTTTTCCTTGTGCCTATCAAAAACGTAGAGAGAGAGAGAGAACCGGCTGGAAGGAAAAAAAAAAAGAAGGAGAAAAAGAAGGAAAAATTGGGGAAAACCTTGTTTAGCTTAGAATTGAAGAGTAAACTTGGTAATCCTTACATCTCTTACTTGAATTCATGTTTTGTATGTTGAATTCCATCCTTTAGTAGTTGTATTTCATGTTTAGTTGATGAATTTTGTTGGATTGGAGTAGCAAAATTTCGTGTATGAAGCATGTGTACCTAACAGTTTCCTGACAGCAAACTGGGTCTCCGTTTTTACGTAATTTCTCATTTGTAAACTTTGAATTAGGTTTCGGTTCCTTCACAAGTTAGAAAGTAGACTTAAAGCTCGTTCTTTTGCCGCTGGAATCGCCCCAAACCGTTGAGAATTCAATTTATAGTGATTTTCCAAAGTTTGGATTGAAACTAGGAAATCTGCAGAGTAGAAATTTCATGTCTGTCCTGATTTCGTGGATTTTTTTGAGGTAGTTCCTAAGCTCCAAAAATTATGAAATTTTTATAGAGAGTTTCTCTATGAATCCTTTATCTATAGTAAAAATTTCGGGATCAGATTTGAAGTATTGAATTCTGTAAAAATTCGTGACCATGTGGCGCGCTGTTTTCGGATTTTGCTGACTGTGCAGACACATGTTAGGGAATCGGCCATAATTTTGAGCTCGGGCGAGGAAATTGCGATCCGATTTCTGATTTTGAACCTAGACTCGTAGACCTAAAAAAATGCATGAAGATTGTGTCTTATTTCTTCCCATGCAAAGTCAGATTTTAAGTTGAAATTGATGGAATTGCAGATTCTGAAATTATTTCTTGAGATTGGTTGTTTAACTTCATATCTTTCACCCTAGGACCTTATGTTCATTAAAAATATACTTGTTAGACATCTTCTAATCATGTTTTATTTGCCTAATTATTTTAGGAAGCTCGGGTGGTTCGTAGAGCCGAGGTGAGTGATTTAATACCTAAACACATGGTTTGAACTTGTTTTTCCTATCAATCTTATTTGAACATGTTTATAAATTTTGTACTCCATGGATACCAATGGAAGGTGGATTTATTTGTGAAATGTTTGCGAATCTATTTAATGGCATTCCCAACGTCCGGTCTTGCTAGGGGACGGCTTAATGGCTAGCAAGGGTGTTTGAGGTTGGTTTGTGATTTGGGATAATGCATAGACGTCTGGCTTATCCACTACCGGGGACGCCCGGTAGCTTTTGAATTTTGAATAGCGGAATGTGCATTATATTTGGCTTATGGTTTTGAGTACTTTGTTTTGAATTATTATCAAATTATTTTCCAATGTCCATGGAAGGCATGTGCGTTAAGTATTAATCATTCACACGAGCTTTGGCTTATGGATTTTCTTTTCCACCTTTCAGGAAATGTCGAGTAGGATGGCGTGGTGTTTATTTTTGGGACGTGTAGAATTTTTGGACCTTGCAGAAAGGAAGTTTTGATTGTCGACACTTGGCTTGTACATAGCTTGTTAGCTTTTGAATCTGTAAGTAAGCACACGGCTCCGGGAGGTTTATCTTTTGGTTTGTAAAGCCTAAGTAAAGTAAGACTTTGGTTCGTCATCAATGAAAGTAGTCTTTTGCTTCCGCTGTTAAGTTAGTCCCTTTTGATTATCGTTTGCTTAAGTGATATTTGGTTTGTTATTTGGCCTGAGTGAGAAATCACTGGCATTTGTCATGATTAGGACCTCAAGGGGCGGGTTAGGGTCGTGACAATTTTTTTTGGTATCAGAGCATGCATAAGCAATACGTTAGGACAATGAGATGCACGATTAGCAATGACTCACACACGAACCCTCGGAGCTTTAGGACAAGTAAAGTCTATGTGCTAAGTGAGGAATATTGAATGCTACGCTGTGAAATTTTTAAAGTGATTGTTACATGATTATATGCGCAAAACTTATGTGATCATGATATAAATTGTACAATGTGAATTTTGTCTCTTTGATTTAGCAAATGGAGCATCGGGCTATTCCAGAGGGGGCACAACCTCCACCTCCACCTCCAGATAGGTTGGAGAGAATAGAGCGGATACTTGAGGGATTACTTGGGGTAATGGCCCAGCAAAATCAGCCACGCCCTGTTGTGATGGGAGAACCTGCTAGAGTTGAGCCGATTAGTGTCAAAGATTTTCAGAAAATGAAACCTCCGACCTTTGAAGGGGGAATTGATGGGCTCAAGGCTTACCATTGGGTTCAGGGTATGGAGAAGATATTTACAGTTATTCAGGGTCAGTGTCCGGAAACACACAAAGTGGTTCTTGCTACCTACAACTTCGAAGGAGAAGCTCACAGATGGTGGTTACAACAAGTAGATAGGGAACAAAACATGAATTGGGCTCGGTTTAAAGAGGTATTTTATGATAAGTACTTCCCACAAACTTTGAAGGATAACAAATGTACTGAGTTCATTAATTTGACGCAAGGAGACAATATGACAGTGTCTGAATATGATAAAGCTTTTACCGAATTGAGTCAATTCGCACCACACATGATTTCAACGGAGAATCTTAAAGCAAGGAAATTTGAGGATGGTCTGAAGGATGGTCTTCGTGAGCCAATCAAGATGCTTAGGCTGCCAACATATACGGATGTATTGAATGTTGCTTTAATGTCAGAAGCCGATAAAAAGAAACAAAGGAGACATGTCAGTTATGTGCCACCAAAGAATCAGGGAGGCAACAATCCATATAAAAAGCAGAATACCGGAACATCTGGGTGGAGTCAAGGTAGTAGTAGTGCGGGAAATCAAACCCGGCCATGTGGGAGGTGTGGTAAAGTACATATCGGGCAATGCCATCGAGATGCTGGAGCGTGTTATAGATGTGGACAGGTGGGACATTTGATGAGAAATTGTACGAATGCACCAAGGCCGGGATTTGTGGATAAACGTGGTGTTTCGATGGGTTCGGGGTCGGCGCCAAGACCGATAGCCACTACTAGTTCAGCACAGAGTTCGGGAGCAAAGTTAGATTCGGGAAAGAGGCAGGGCAGGATGTTTGCAATGACGCCAGGGGACTCTCAAAACACAAATTCGGTGGTGTCAGGTACTCTTCATATTTGTGGTCATTCAGCTCATGTACTTATTGATTCGGGATCTACGCATTCATTTGTTTCTGCACAGTTTGCTATTAAATTGACTAGACCACTTGAATCACTTGGTTACGAATTGCATGTGTCACAACCTATGGGTAGTGGTGTTAGATGTTCTACAGTCTATAAGGCATGTGATATATTAGTTGGAAGTGCGCATTTGTTAGTTGATTTAATTCCTTTAAATATGAGTCATTTCGACGTCATATTAGGGATGGATTGGTTGACTTCCAATTTTGCCACAATAGATTGTATTGCCAAAAGGGTTATGATTCAGATACCAGATAGGGGAGATATTATTTTTGAGGGAAAAGCAGTGGTTTCACCGCCTTATTTGATATCTGCCATGCATGCTCGTAGATTGATAAGTAAAGGTTGTCAGGGCTATCTGTGTTCAATTCTTACTACTGAATCTGGAGTAACTACCTTGCAAGATATTCCTATTGTTAATGAGTTTCCTGACGTGTTTCCGGAGGATTTGCCTGGTTCATTGGTTGACAGGGAGATAGAGTTTGTTATTGACCTTGTTCCGGGGACTCAACCAATTTCTAAGACACCATATCGAATGGCACCGTTGGAGTTGAAGGAACTGAAAGTTCAACTGCAGGAATTACTCGACAAGGGGTTTATCAAACCAAGTATCTCGCCTTGGGGAGCACCGGTCTTATTTGTAAAGAAGAAAGACGGTACAATGAGGCTTTGCATTGATTACCGGGAGCTGAATAAGGTGACTATCAAGAATAGGTATCCACTTCCGAGGATTGATGATTTATTCGATCAATTGCAGGGAGCAAGGGTATTTTCTAAAATTGATCTTCGGTCGGGCTACCATCAGTTAAAGGTAAAGGCAGAGGATGTTGAGAAAACAGCTTTCAGAACGAGATATGGACATTATGAATTTTTAGTCATGCCTTTTGGGGTTACTAATGCACCGGCGGCTTTTATGGATTTAATGAATAGAGTGTTCAAGTATTATCTAGATGAATTTGTTGTTGTATTCATCGATGATATACTAGTGTACTCTAAGACTCCGGAACAGCATGCCAAGCACTTGAGGATGGTTCTGCAAACACTACGGGAAAATAAGTTATTTGGCAAACTGAAGAAATGTGAGTTCTGGCTATCTAGTGTGGCATTTCTTGGACATGTGATTAGTGGGGATGGTATTACAGTTGATCCACAGAAGATTGAGGCGATAATGAACTGGCCAAGACCAACTACAGTGACAGAAGTACGCAGCTTCTTAGGATTAGCTGGATACTATCGGAAGTTTGTCAAAGACTTTTCCAAGATTGCCGGTCCATTGACTGAATTGACACGAAAGGAAGTACCGTTTGTGTGGACTAAGGAAAGAGAGAACTGTTTCTTAGAGTTGAAGGAACGGTTGGTGACAGCGCCAATTCTAACCTTGCCATCGGGGACAGAGGGATTTGTGATTTTTAGCGATGCTTCACATCGAGGTTTGGGTTGTGTTCTGATGCAGCATGGAAAGGTGATCGCTTATGCTTCGCGCCAACTGAAATTGCATGAAAAGAATTATCCCACACATGATCTAGAATTAGCGGCAGTGATCTTTGCT